ATAAAACTTTTTGGGACACAATGTATACCTATGTATAATTGTGGCCTCGTATAATTGAGGGAATGTCAAAATGGATTTTTAAAAAACAACTATTACACTAGAGATTAAATTAAATTTGTTCTTACCAAGATTGTGCCAGATGGAATCTACCTACATCCTATAATTTTGGTGTGTGGAAAAATGTATTCCTTTTTCAAAATCAATGAATATGGTGTCGCTACATTATTCAATTAAAAGTTGAAGAAATTTCACATAATTTGACTTCATTTTGTTCTTTAATAAAAAATATAGAACTGGGACATATGTATCATTTACATATACATGCAAACAATATTATTGAAAAAAATATTTTAGACAATTACCGAAAGTTCCATCTATATAAAATTGTGCATCTAAATTTATATCTTATAAATTCAAAGTACTTTAAACGTCTGCAGAAGATTTTGGCAATTTGGGGAATAATTTACGTTTTTCTCTTCTAAAGTTATTTAGAATGTATTTCATGTCATTACTTGTAAGAGCATCCAAACACTGTTTTTGAGAGTTTATTTTCCTGTGGATACCTTTGGCAGGTCTCTCGCACAACCAGTCTTCGGCTTTTCACTTTATTTAATAACTCACTTTTTGTCTGTTTAATACACCTTGATCTAACATTTTATGCTCATGGTCACCACTTTTCTTTGAAAAAAATCAAATTTTTTTCATCTCCTAGTGTGTATTATTTTGCACGACAGGTTCTCGTGACACAATACCAGTATACCTCTGTACTTTATCAGAGGCGGTATACGGTTATTTAGCTCCGATTTAGTACAAATTCGTGTCACTAGGCATTACTAGTACAAATTTGTACCACCAGTTGGTTAATTAACCTCTCGCTCTAAAGGGAACAAACCCGCTCATGTCGGGGCACTCAGGGACAGCCACAAATACCAAGGACTACAAGGAGTCCCTTTCTGAGACGGTCTTCACTAAGCGACAGAAGGACAAGGCTGAAAATGCCGGCACATACACCTCAGTACTCACACCTCACAGCATTCCAAGAAGCCCGATCTCTATAAAAATTAGAAGAAGCGTGCACTATTCGAGGCATCTATACAGGCATGTGAGTACCCCAAAGCCCAAACACTCCTTTTCCTCAGAGAAAAGCGCCAGAACGCATATTAAAAGGGACAAACGTCAATAAACAACAAAAGAAAGTAAGGAGAATATCCAAAAAAGTGAAGAGAAAGTAGAAACAAGCCCTGGAAGCTCATACAATGCAGATAGCGGACCAATACAAGCAAAAGCAGCCAATTTGCAACCAAGACAAGTCCCCGGCAAAAGCACAACCCCATCAGAAACACTCATATCCCAAGCTCTCGAAAGTTTGGAGAATCCTTATACCCAAAAATTTGACTCAAATTTTGTCTACGAAAATCTGCCAGAATTTGAATTACCGGAGAACGAGTTCAAAAGTGCGGAAAACTCACCCTTAGATGACACCCTCACCAACAAGTTCGAGAGTGCCATTAGTGCGGAAAATAGTGAAAATGCGGCTTCTATTAGTTCCGAGAGTGCGGGAAAATCCGAAAGCTCTTTAATACACAATTCAAAGTTCGACTTTAAAGAAAGTGCGATAAACAACACTAATAATGACATGGTGCAAAAGAAACACATAATCAGACAATTCGGAGCGGGCTTTAAAACGTTACCACTATTGAGCTCAGTGACCGCAAAAGTGCTGAATTTCGGTACAGATGCACACGTCGGGACGTCCAGCAAGGACGAATACAACAAAACTGCAGTAGCTTCGAAGCAACACCAAATCGGAGCCAGCCAATAGCAGCACAACAAAATCTAACTCTACTGCCAAAAAGGAAACAAATTTCCCCAACATCACAGTTACTCACTACTCAATATGATGGAAGTGCAGACTCAGAGAACAACGATGGATTCCACAAACCTAAAAGGACTAAAAAATTCAATACCAAATTTAAAAAACAATTGGAACAAAAAGCGGCTTCAACAATTACGACGAGCAATAAATTTGACCCCATTAGTGACAGCGAATACGAAGCAGAATCCGATAATGACATTCCACAAGGTACAAAAAATATACCAAACAAAAGTGACGTCCTACAGGACACACAAACCAACAATGGCAAAATTACTCCGGGCCTAAGAGTTAAATCAAACACAGGTACGATTGACCCTACAAAAAAAATGAAAGGAAGCACCAAAAAAGAAAATATACCCCTATGGTCGTGGATGGGCGCACAGATAACCATCTGAACCTAAAACAGGATCTCAAAGATATTATTATTATTATTGGAAAATATTCCATTAAATATACGAACGCCACCATCGTGATCTTCACTCAAAATGCAGATAATTATAATGCCCTACTTACCAGATGAAAGAATCGAATATCCCTCATCACACATACACCAGCAAAGCACAGAAAACACACGCGATTGTGCTAAGAGGCATGGCAAACGGCACAGAAATCGAACAAATAAAAGAAGACTTGTCAGCCACATACGAAATAGCAACAAGAGAAATTTTTAAAATGACCACCACACACAGACCACTTTACTTAGTGGTGACAGAGCTGGTAATAACTCTCGATTACCTAAACAAAAATGTTAGGGTAATCGAGAACATACGTGTAACCTGGAAACTACTAAGATCCACAAGAAACATCATACAATGTCACAGATGCCAAGCGTGGGGTCACGCAACATCAAATTGCGGACGCCCCTCTAAGTGTCTGAAAAGTGCAGAAGATCGTCTAACAAACACATGTAGCAAAACAAGAGATACACCGGCTACATGCGCCAACTGCCAGGGGGACCATCCTGCTAATTTTACACAATGTAAATCTTATGTAGACAGAGCCAAGAGAATGGAAGAGAGAAAACTGACACAAAACCAACGACAAAAATATGTAAATGCACCACAACCAACCACAAATGCTTGGAAAAAAACAACAGAAACAGAGGCCCACAAACAGAAGAATTTTCCCAACTACCCAGCAAGATACAACCCCCGATGTCAGTACCGAGAGAGACATTCACCGCGCCAACTTCATCGCGAGGTCTTGAAGATATTTTCGCCCTAAACTCAGAATTAGCAGAATTAAATTCACTAGTAAATATAGCAGAACTCGTCCGAGCCATCAGAGACTTAAATGCACAACTTAGACAATGCCAAACTACAGCACAATACTTCACAACTTTTAATATATTCATGTCAAATATAGAACTTTTCAACATCAAAAAATAAACAACAGACACACAGACATCTACAGACAACACTTTTACAATATAAAAACAATACATAAATAGACATAAATCATAGCATAGTCAGGACAGTAACATACTCCAATAGAGCGCCAAACATACTGACGAACATTTCACACGGTCTAGCTACTCGAGAGTACTAGTCCGATGGACGACCGAGCGGTGAGCTGTTCGTTGGTGTGCCGGTTGAGAGCCATTTTTTTAATTTATAAATATTATTCAAGTTAAAATAATACATTGTACGTCTACAACAAATTTAATAAATTATGAAGAGATCTTCTTCATCATTCCTTCCTGGGGTATCCTGAGAAGGTATGGGCTGATGTTTTGCCTGTATTTTGGAGTAGGTAAACGTTTGTCATCATGAGTATTGCCAGTAAACTCCTTAACAGATAGGTATTTTAAGATTATTATGATTTCCAATGCTAAGAGCGATGAGTGGTATGTATAAATGGTATGTGTAAATGTTATGTTGGAGTTTAGTTATGTCTGTTTTCCCTGAAGAGGCTCTTGAAAAAACAGGGTTTTACGATGTATGTTTGTGTGTTGTAGATTTGGTTTAGTTGTATGTACTACTATCATACTGATCAGTGATTGGCCGCCCAAGAAATCGAAGAGAGCCAGTAGCAGTCCTCGATTAGATGCCCCGTCCACCACCGTTCAGTATTCGCCGACTAAGGTATATTACACATCGTCCTTTTCGAATAGTGCATTAATAGTACTTTACATGCAAAGCCCGTCTGTGCTTGTTAGCTTTATTTTGTCCTTTTTTCAGTTTCTGTATGTTTCAGTTTTGAAAGTCCCTCGTGTAGCCATGCATGCTTCCTATTTGCATTGTTTCTGATGTTAATATTGTATACTCGTATGTCTTCTTTAAGATCTTGAGGAAGACAGTTAAGAGCCTTCTACACTCGCAATCGGTACCCCGATAGTCTGGCCCAGCGCCCAGTTGTTCTTGTGAAATGTGACAACAAACATAGACTACACATGAACACAAAAACACACAACGAAAACCCCATTTTTTTCCAGATTTTTCAGGGAACAATATCCATTATTAAACTCAGACAAACCTTTTAAATACTTCCAATTACCGACTCATAAAAACGACAACCCCTTGATAATACCTAATAGGTAAGGAGCGAGGGCTGCTATATTTAGCGCTAGTCAAAATTAAAAAAAAGTCTTCTAACAGGGGCGAAGATATCGTCATGGCCGGATCGGTTTACTGTAAGGCCAGCACAAGCCTAGCTTGTGTGTATTGTTAGAATACCATTGTATACATCCTTTAAAAAGTTGAATAAATGTTCTAAATGTAAAAAATGTGACACAATACCAACAAGTTTCACCTGTACTTTTTAAAATACGATATTTGTTAAATTTATAAATCCATATTAACAAAATGAATGATGCTGCAACTTATTAATCGATTAATTGCTATTTGGTAAGGTATTAAATAATAAATATAATTAATAATAAATATAATTAATAATAAATATAATAAATAATAAATATAGTAATCCTTTTAACTGCTGACCGCGTCGGGCGCCTGAGGTAAGTACCTACCTAATTAAATTCGTCCTTTACGGGAACTGGAGTAGTATTATTATCTCAAGCTTCAACTGCTTGGCGGGAATACTAGGCAAGGATTATGGTTAAAATTGTACTTGACGGGAATTCGAGTGTCCTCATAATAAATAATATTATTAATAAAATGCTCACCGAATTACCGCATATGGATTCATCTGGAATCGCGGGATTCAAATTATATGGTGTCCTTTTTATTCTGGATTGTGTAGGAAAATTATGATTTGGCTCTACAAAATTTAAATCAGTGTTATATCGAATAATTAAGTTATATTTTTTTTAATTATATATTTTTCAAGAAGCAATGCTGCAATTATTTAATATTATCTGCTGTTAAATACATATGTAAATATTTGTAAATAGTAAATAAATTATTTGAAATGAATGAATAAGTTATATTAAAACAATTGAGTGGCATAGAGAAAAAGTAGTGTTTTGTTTTAAAATACATTGAATACATAATACTGTTGATGTATTTATGAAAATAGCAGTGTTCGTGATTAATCTATATACGATTTTATACAAAAATATACGTGGCAAAAATCCAGTATCACCGTCTACGATTAACTCACTTTTATCAAGATCTAGAAGGCGTTAAAAGGATTGCTACTTCCTCTAAAAAACAACAGTGACTAAAATTCTTTTATTTTTTTTAAGTTGATCATCGATTTGGAATATTTCGTGTAAATTTTTATAAAAAAGTTGTACCATTTAAGTATGATATCTTTCACGTTTAACTCCTTCTAGATTAACTTCTGAATACATTTTATCAGTCCAATATTGACAATGAAAATAGTCTTAACACATTGACTGATAAGAAAATATATGGCTGATGGCGACAATACGTTAATTGAGCTTTTAATTTACTTCCCATGAATTTCAAATAAAAATATTTTTTGTTTTTTTTTTCAAAGTTTTTACGATTTTTTCATGCTGGTCTATGGGACCAGCGTGACACCTGTTAACAAATCTCTAGTCAAATTCTTCTGTGGCACCGCTAGTCCCTTGACCTTCGTTTGCGAGGCCGTGACGTTCGGTAGCCTAAAATATTACTATATCTATTTTAAAATGAATGATAACAAAATTTTTATGACCCGGGAGATAAACCCAAATATAATATCATAAATCAGTGACCAAAAATTTCAAAAATAAAATTTTTAGCATTATTTGTTCAAAAATAAAATCTTTGGTTTTCTTCCAAAAATTTTTAAAAATACCAATTTATTTAAATTCTTAGCGTTATTCTTCTAGTAATTTTAATCTACAAAATAAGGTAAGTATGTAATCTCTAGAGATAGAAAATATTTATAATTTAAAAACAATTAAGGTAGCCCTCAACTTTCTCAGAAAGAATTAAAATTTCTAATCGGCAGAAAGTTTTATGTAGATTGTAAATTATTTTAGTTATTATTTAAATTTCTGTTTATAACGGTGTGTGTAATGGCTTAAAATTTCCAAATGGTAAAGATCGCCGTTTAATTATTATTCATATTGGAGGAGCTAAAAGATTTGTTGATATAGGCTTGTTAGAATTTGTTTCAAATTCTACGAAAGACTACCATAAAAAAATGACTGCTGATTTTTTTGAGGAATATTTCAGTCAAATGATAAATTTATTACCGACCAATTCTGTAATAGCTATGGACAATGCCAGGTATAGTACGAGCAAGAGATAGTGTGACTTTAAAGCTTTAAAGCCAGCCGGCAACATACAAAAAAAACTAAGGAGACTGATACATCACCTTTAAATTAGTATAGGAGCATTCAAGAGATTGAGTATACTTATTTCATTTTTACTTTTCTCGAAACATTTACAGAGGTACTGCAATATAGGTTGTACAAAATAACCGGAAAAAGCCTGTAATAACTAGATAGGAAAGTCATGTGTTGGACGCATCAGATTTTTATTCATATCACCCAATAAGAGGATTCAAATAACTCGAGAAAATGCTGTTCAAGCAACATCAATATCTTATTTTGATTTATAATATTCAACGTAATATTTAAATACGTGTAACACTTTCTTTCCTTTTGAGATAATTCCAAACATAAGGCGTATATACAAAAAAAATGGCTAGCTTCGGGTGTGCTTAATTGCACGGTTTTTTCACCACCTCGTCTTTATCTCACATTTTAAAAATTAGAAAAAGAATGTAAAAGGAATTAAGTTAATTTTGTAAAACTTTATTGACAAACCTAGTCCGCTCCTGCCGGTTGTATTTTCAGCCACTTGCACTGCATTGAGTAAGAATCGTTTGACTACCAACAGGTTAATCAAGACGCAGATTGTTTAGGAGTACATTCAACACAATGACGAAAGCAGATATACAAAACTTTCTAATAGACAATAATTTGTATTTTCAAGACAGCTATAAGAAAGAAGAACTTCTTAAAGTTTTACGGACGAAACAATTTATAAAACTATACGCCATAGATAGTATTGCTGAATACCATGGAGATTTCCTCTTTATTTTTGTATTTTTAATGGGATATAAAACCACATACTTTAGTGGCGTTTATCTTATCATTCACCAATTAAAGTAAAATTTCTTAATTTTGCAGTATTGACGATTAATTTTAAGTATTTTAATCTAGAACCGAGCGGCTGTCAAGAAAAATACAAAATGACGCATTGATGTAGAATTGACCAGTCTAATGAGTAAAAATATCGACATGGAAAAATGTCAGTGGCGTACTACTTTTTTTGTAGAAAATATCAGATGACATGTTTGCAGAGATGCCACTGATAGAGAAAATTTGTTACTTCACCAGTGGCGTTTATCTTATCGTTAATCTATTAAATTAATATTTCTTTATTTTGCAGTATTGACGATTAGTTTTAATGCCGTTTTGATGTAGAATTGATGTAAAAATATTAACATGGAAAAATGTCAGTGGCGTACTATTTTTTTTTTGTAGAAAATATTGAATGACATGTTTGCAGAGACGCCACCGGTAAAGCAACAAAATAAATATTCTAACTAAAATATATGGTTTTATATCCTATTAATACATGCCAAAATTAAAAATTATATCTAAACTATTTTCAGAGATATTAAAAAATATCTTTTTAGAAAACAAATTTTCAACTCCCTGTAGCAAAAAGTTGGAGTTGTTGCGGATATATGTGTTGTTTATAGAATGACCTGAGGAATCACACCCTACAATATTAGAATATCATTAAATAACACCCTATATATATTGTAACAATTTTATCAGAAATCAATTTTAGTCGAAATCTGCTGACTTTTAAAAATAAAAGTTTTTTTTTAATTTCTCGCCCTGTATATATCTGACCAGAACTATAATCGGTTTTGAGTCAAGAAGAAGCCTTACCTGCATACAAAATTTGAATTTTTTCTCTTAAGCCGTTTTTGAGATACCGCGCCAACAGGCAAACGGCAGACAACAGACGGCGGACGGCAGACAGACCGACGGAATGCGAAAAACATGTCCTTTTATCAAGGGAAGTAAAACTAAAATAAGTATACTCATTCTCTTGAATGCTCCTTTACTATATTTAATGTATCAGTATCCTTAGTTTTTTTGTATGTTGCCGACTGGCTTTAAAGTCACACTATATCTCTTGATCGTACTATACCATTCAAGATTAACGGAACCGTTACCTAACACTAAATGGAAAAACAAGAACTCTCCGATTGGCTAATAACCAAAGAAATAGTGGCAGAAGAGGAATTACTCAAAAAAGAGCTAGGTATTGCAGTTATGTAAACAACATTCACCAAAATTTAAGAAGTATAGTGTAAATGAAATAGCAAAAGAACATGAAGTTAAAGTGTTGCGGTTACCAACTTATCACTGTGAACTTAACCCCATTGAACTAATCTGGGCTCAAATGACAGCATATGTCGCGAGAAATCATACAACATTTAAACTTCAAGATGTTCGTCAACTATTATATGACTCAATATTAAAAATGTCATCGGACATTTGGCAAAACGCTATAAGACGTATCATAGCGGAGGAAGAGAAATTCTGGAAATGTTATTAGAGGAACAATAGAATTATTTCTATGGAAAGTGAGGGAACTGATGGTGAAGACTCTTTATAGGAGAAAACGACCTATTTATTTATTTATTTATGTATGTTAATCTATATTTATATTAATTATAATAAGTTTATATGACGCTAGTACCCGAAATACAAACGAATAAATTTATATGGAATCACCCCGTATTTGTAAAAATGAAATTTGTGTGTTTCATGAGAGAAGTTTTTTTTTGAACAGATTTTTTCTGTAAAGATCTTTTTTATTATATTATATAAATTTGGTTGTGTATATATTTATTAATAAATTTTAAGGGTACTTTATATTGACAGTTTACTATTTTTTATATTAAAGTAATCCCGTGTTCCTCGTCACTGAAGTATAGAATTATTGGTTAGTCCCTTAGGGTTAGCTCATTTACATTTTATGATATATTGTATTCTTTTGTTATTAGTTTTCTGTGAGATATTCCCGGTAATGATAATACCCTATTGGAATTTTATTAATATATTTTTCTTAAGTACTTTAACCAATTATTAGATTAGTCACATTTGAAGAATTTGGCCCAGTGCCCACTCGTTTTTGTGAAATGTGACAATAAACATAGACTACTAATGAACACAGAAGCAAATAACTAAAATCCTGTTTTTTCTAGATTTTTCAGGGAACATTATAGAAAAATAATCTCAGTCAAAATTAAAAGAGATGTTTTCTACCAGGGGCGAAGATATCTCCATGGCCGGATCAGTTTACCGTACAAGCCTAGTTTAAGTATTATTATTTATTGTTTCGGCCTTTACTTGATGAAAATCCATTTTATCTTGAATGAGTAAAACCAAATTTGGTAGATTTTCACAAAACTTTTATTTTAAAAAAATAAAAATTAAATACACTACACATGACATGTTTCGAAGTACAACGTCTTTTTCAAATGTGACTAATTTACAATTCGGTATCCAATATATATGCGAAATAATTTAACAAAACAAAGTACTTAAGAAAACATCAATAACATAACAAAATAAACTAACTGTTTAAAGTAAATAAGGGTACTTAGGTAATTATCAGATCAATCAAATAACAATAAGACAGTAACATTACCGGGACTATCTCACAGAAAACTAGGAAAGAGATTAAGGGCCCTATTCAGTAATTTATCGTTCATGGACGACATCGTTAAGCTAACGACAGTTCAACCAACGACTTTTATAACGATAATTT